ATCCGTCTGGTCCGTCTGATCCGTCTGGTCCGTCTGGTCCGTCTGGTCCGTCTGGCCCTTTTAGCCCTTCCTGGCTCCTTTCAGCCTTGCCTAGCCCTTCTTATCTATTTGGTTCTGATTTCTCTGGTCCTTCTTAATCCTCTAGTCCTTTTAGCCTTTTTAGCCTTTCTTAGACCTTTTGGCCCGTCTGGTCCGTCTGGTCCGTTTAATCCGTTTGATCTGTCTGGTCCGTCTAATCCGTCTGGCCCTTCCGGCCCGTCTGGCCCTTCTAGCCCTTCTAGCTTCTTCTGGTCCTTCTGGCCCCTTTGGCCTTTTTGGCCCTTCTGGCCCTTCTAATCCTTTTGGTCCTTTAATCCTGCTGGTTCTTTTAGCCCTTCTGGCTCTTCTGGCCCTTCTGGCTCTTCTGGCCCTTCTGGTTCCTCTGGTTCCTCTGATCCTTGTGGTCCTTTGATCCTTTGGCCCTTCTGGCCCCTCCGGCCCTTCTAGCCCTTTTAGCCTTTCCTAGCCTTTTAGGCCCCTTTGAGTCCGTCTGATCCGTCTGATCCGTCTGATCCGTTTGATCCGTCTGATCCGTCTGATCCGTTTAATCCGTTTAATCCGTTTAATCCGTTTAATCCGTTTAATCCGTTTAATCCGTCTAGCACGGCTCAAATGAATCTCGTTTGACTTGAGCAGCTTTCTTAGCTTTTAGCACTTATTGCTTTACTTAAATTTATTTTTATTCGAGAACTTAAAGGTAAAGCGTTTGTATGCTAAAATGCTATCGATAATAAAGGAGTATAGTAGCAATAGCTCTTTTAAGATGCTTTTAGCTTCCGGGTGATCGCTATCGAAAAGCTTAAGTATAAGATCTCGTATAATTAATCGAATCTTAATATTTTCATAAGTGAATTGCTTTTTAATTTAGTTAAAGAAAGCAAGCACTATTCAATATTATTTCTCCCTTCTCATCGCTGAACACGACGACCCTTTGGCCCTTAGACCCATACCTGGCTGGCCTTGGTCCGGCCTCAACTCTCGTCGCTTTGTGGCTCATAATTGCTAGGCTTCCAAGCTTGCGTTAGCACACCCTGCCCTATCTCCTTGGGTTTGTTATCCTGCTGAGTAACTTCTTTTATGATCCATTTTATCCGTAGAGAAAGGCCGCAGTTGGTAGCAGCCACGCTGCTACACCTTGAAATGCTTTCTAAGGCCGTTCTATATACGCCGTATCTTATAAGAGGTCCTAGGGCGGCAGGCCTCCATTGCGACTCGCTCGACGTTGATAAAGTTGATAAAAATCATAATAATAAATCCGATTCCCGATGCGACTTTAAGGCAGAGAGGTGAGTGATGTACGCATAATCCATCATTCTCCTTCTCGCAAGACTTGTCGCTGATTACGATTGCAATAGCGCCGAATCACGAAGAAAGAAGAGTTCCGTTCGCGACGTTTTCGTTAAGAAGCTGTTATCGTCAACTCGCTTTCGGCATGTAAGATCCAGGTTTAAGTCCAAGGTCAGATCCGACAACGAAAAACCCACTGTCGTGGTCCTAGGCCACCAGGCTACTACAAGGTGGCACAGACCAGTTGGGAGAGGTACCATGGTACAGGCCTAACTATATACTACGTCCCAGGCGCAAGTATTACCCTTCGAGGGTAGGGCAACCAGGGGGTTTAAAGTGAAAACTAAACTTTTAAAGCACCTTCAAGGGGTAATACTTAGGCCTGTACCGTGGTACGTAGCCTCACGCTTGCTCTGAGCTTTCTAGAACAATACCCATTCTATCCTTACCTTATTGTCTCCCACTACTCTCCCCCCCATGAATAAATGTCGAAAGTATAATTTCGCAAGGGGATCTTACCAAGGCTTAAACCAACCAACTTACTACGTATAAGGATTCAGCTTTGGAAAGTATCTTTGAGCCTGTATTTAGTCTATACAGTGGAGTTGACAGGGCTTTGAGCCATTAAGAAACCACCGCTCTATGATTTATGGGCCTAAACTGGGTCCGACATTTACTCATGGGGGGGGGGAGTAGCGGCGCCATCTCAAGAGCGTTGTTTTCTTCCCCCTCAAGTCTTTTTATTTTTTCCAACCGGTAAATGAATAGTACCTATTTAACGGCCCGTCGAATTCAGAAGCTGGAACAGAGTGTTCTAAGTATTCGTGCCATTCGTCCCAACCGTCCTATTCGTCCCATGCATCCCATGCATCCCATGCGTCCCATGCGTCCCATGCGTCCCATGCATCCTATGCATCCTAGGTATTTATCAATCTACCACGGTACAGGCCTAAGTATTACCCCTCGAGGGTGCCTTAAAAGTTTAGTTTACACTTTAAACCCCCTGTTTTCCCTACCCTCGAGGGGTAATACTTACGCCTGCGACGTAGTATAGTATGACGAGAGATTTTCTTTTATTATGATCCATCCTATCTATACGGGAATGGCGCACACGATAGTAGCTCTCGCTGCAGCACCTTGGATTGCGTTCTGGGCCTTCTTGTATGTAACTCCTTAGCTAAGCACGTCGCCGTACCCTATAAGAGGTCCCAAGGCTACCCGCCCGACGAAAATAAATAAGTACAACAACAACAACAACTACATACCGGTCTATGATCCGATCTAACCCTTCCGACTTGGTACATGCCCGAAATAATGTACAAACGCCGTCTGTGCGCGATTCTAGAGGTTTCCGTTGACAAGGCTTTTGTGCAAGGGGTGCTACTAATGATTTACTACAGACAATATAAGGAAAGGATAATAGTGGTGTGAGCAAGGTGGTTATTATTCTTTGAAGCTCAGAGCAAGCGTGAGGCTGCTATATACCTCTCCTAGTGGTCTGAGCCACCTGTAGTAGCCTTGTGGCCTAAGGCCACGACGAATACGTACCAAGGTACAGGCCTAAGTATTACCCCTCGAGGGTGCCTTAAAAGTTTAGTTTCTACTTTAAACCCTCTGTTTTCCCTACCCTCGAGGGGTAATACTTACGCCTGCGACGTAGTATCTAGTGTGCACAGACTAAAATTGTACATCATTTACAATACGAAGTATATCCTGTCAAACAAAAATTTCGAAGGAATAAAAGGATGACATCAGTGAAAAAAGCCGAAGGAACGAAAGGAAAAGACAAAATTATTCTTATCCAATCTATCCACCCGTGGCGCCCAACTTCCGAAATATAATACAATGAACTAGTAAGCATCAAGTAACAGTCTTGACAGAGAGCGAGTATTAATATTATCTCGTAGATGCTTCTAGTTCGATCCTCAACCCGAATTCGCAGTCCGGATCCGCAGTCCGGATTCGCGAAAATGTACTTTGAGTTTTGCTCGCCAAGATTAAGCGAGCGCGATCCAAGTAAATCAACAACATCGTTTTTCAATATTTTTTATTTTTATATAGCATAAAATAAAAAATACATGCACGGAGCGGTAATTTAAGATACGATATAGCACGAGCATAAGCACGAGCGTAAGTATAGGCATAAGCATGAGCATAAGGATGAGCATGGGCATGGGCGTGAGCATGAGCATAAGCAGGAGCTTGGATATAAGCTTAAGCGTAGATGAGTGATTGAGATTGAGTCTGAATACAAGCTCAAGCTTGGGTGAGTGCTTGAGTGAATGCTTGAATAAGTGCTTGGAAAGAGTTGGGTGCTTGGAAGGAGGATGGATTTTACTGCTTCAACTTCAATGGGTCCTTGAGCTTGAACTTGGGTGAGTTGAGTTGAGTAAATAAAGAGAGGTACCTGAATGCTTAGAGATATAGTGGGCTTAACTGCTTGAAGTTGAGTAGGCGCTCGAGCTTGATTCTCAATAAGTGCTTAAAAAGAAGTGGGTGCTTAGAAAAAACTAAGTGCTTAGAAACTGGGCGGGTTTGACGGCTTGAACTTAAGTGGGTGCATGAGCCTGAGCTTGAATGAAAATAAGGATGCTAACATTTTTATCGTGCTTGTACTTTAGCGCTATATTATATTGTGTTCTTATGCGAGAAAATAACTATGCTGTGTCGTGCTTTCGCGCCATCGTGCTCATACTTATGCCTATGCCCATGTTCATGCGTATACTTATGATTAGAGTATTGAACCTGAATATTGTAATTAAGCATTAAAGCTTTCTGGAACATCAGTCACTTTGGTAATCTTGAATTGCAAACGCCTGATAGCCAATAGAGCGAGGCGAGAGTGGCGGTCAGAAGAACAGCATATCCGATCGGATGGTTACACAGTACAAACGGCTGTCTGTTCTCATTCCGTTTGCACTTCTGTTCGTACCTCAGCAGTCATAGAGAAAGCTACTTTTCCATTTACAAAGAAGTATGTAAAACCAACCGGATTGTATTAAAGAATACGTATTCAATACTGCATCGCCACTCCATGTGATACCAACACTGATCAAGCTTACATTAAGCTTAAGCTCATACTCAAGTTCAAGCTCAAGTACTCATTCAAGCTCACGCTCACGCTCAAGTTAAGCATCTTTACCGCCTTCTACTTCCGAAGCCCGCTTACATACATACATATACATATATGCCCATTTCCCTTCCTCCATTCTTCCTCCCTCCATTATTTCCCATCCATCATTAACCCCATCTTACACTTTCGTTCGGCATTATGGATTTCTCTAATCCACAGAATCCGGTAACACTTATCCCTCCGTCGTCTCCCCCCCC